CAAACATCCTGACTCTGATAACTACTTAAATTCACTCAAACAGTGTGAATATTACTCAGATTCCCAGTGTTTGTCACTCATATAGCAACAGAATATACTGAATAGTACTCATTCCCATTTACTCAAATTGTGACTATTACTCAGATTCCCTTTAGTAAGAACAATTGTTAGCCAACTGGCTTCTTAACTGTATACTTTTTCCAAATCAGTAGAAAGTATATACTACTTAATTAGTATACATATGTTATCAAATTATTGGAAAGTAAATCCCTATATATCAGACTGTTTAATTAATATAGATATTTTATCTAATCATCGGAAAGTAAATCCGTTATAGGAAACAAAACATAGATATCTCCTTTTCTATAAGAAAAAAGCTAATTAAAATAAAAATTAATCATCGGAAAGTAAATCCTCGGAAAGTAAATCCTGTATACCTTTCTACTTATGTCTAAGAATGTCGGGTAACAACAAAGACTGGGATAACAGATGCAAAAATATAGAAGAAAACTTAATAGAGACGAACATTTTATTTCAGTGAGGCAGAACTGGTTTTATGTAGATCTTGTTTCCTTTATCGTATACGCGTTGACAAGTCAGTTTTATTGTTCTGTATCCTTTATAATGTTATTGTCATCCGCCATATATTCTTATCTGTACTTGTGCACACTTAAACATTATCTACCTTTGCTTGTACTATATGGAATGAAAACATAGGATTTGGATTGGCGTACACTTTTGACATATGTCTGTTTATGAATACAGAAAAAACTTTACAAAACTGTTTGGGAGGAGATACCTTATTTGATACATTAATACACAAATCTATTTGCCATTAAGCTGGCTTTCGAACAAATCTCTGGAAAATCCAAAAAATATGCGATTGACTATTTTCAGATTTTATCCTTTAACATACCGAATCAAGTAGCTTACAGACTCTACTTATTTTACTACTATTTTTACATTTAAACTGGACAAGATAACTCGTAAATCTGGTTCGTAAATCTTTCTCTTCTTTCTTATATATTCAAAATTTTTCCTTATATATAGCATGATAGAAGAAAGTGTGCTCTTCAAAATGAGATGTTTTCCAGAATTTTTCGATGATTTTTCTTAGCGATATAAGCATAGCCGCAAATGCCCTGAAAAACACGGCCCTGTATACAATATGTGTTTTTCTCACTATTTTTTTCAATAGTACCTTCAATTGGCACACATTACGACCCCTCGAAAAAACGGTCCGATCGAGCATAAAATTTTACCACAGATACTTCAAACCCTATCTCAGGTTCCTTTTTCTTTAAAAGCGTTTTCGACTTCAACTTTCGGCGTAAGAAGGTTTTCAAAAATGAAAAACCGGTCTTTTACATGGGATTTTCAGTATTTTTAGGACATCTCGAGAAAATACTGTTTGTTTTCTTGTTTGTTGAGATTAAAACTCTCATGTTTATTCAGAGAACGATAAAAGAAACATTGAAAAAGATTTTATAACCAAATAAAAGGTATAAAAGAAATGAGATAAGAGAAAATGCATTTTTGGCACTCGTAATCAACGAAATTTTAATTTTCTTGGTTTCATATATTCTTTAACATCATCGTCTGTTATTTGTTTTCGTCTTTCTTGATGTTCACATATAAGTTTTTGCAATACATCAACTAATATCGTCTTTAATTCACCAGTTAACATTTTACCACTTGTATAATCCTACATAGAGAAGAATAAGAAAATAAGTCGCAGTAATATACGTGAGTTTTAAATTCTTTTTTCTGAATCATATCACCGAATCGAAAAATTTCAAAAGCTTGTTCGGCCAAAACCGATTGCAGATTCGTCTTCTCCATGGTTGATTATGTGGTACGCAATAACTTTTGGATCGGGGTACTTAAGAAAAAATTTTTCCCATGGTCTTGCTCAAAAATTTTTCCAAATGTTACCGTATGGGACCAAAGGCAAAACGATGTCGAAAATTTTTTCTAAAGTACCCCGATCCAGAAGTTATTGCGTACCACATAATCAACCATGGAGAAGACGAATCTGCAATCGGTTTTGGCCGAACAAGCTTTTAAAATTTTTCGATCCGGTGATATGTCTAGATTTCATTCATCCATAAACAAAATAGTATCGGATCTGGTTGATGTTTTCTGGAATACTTTAACGCATTATCAACAAATGAACAGTCTTCTAATCGCAATTACTATTTATTCGAGAGTGATAACTTTTACATGACTACTAATTATAAATACCTGTTTTAATTCTTCTAATTTTTCATCATCGGATAAGAAAAATTTTAAATATTGATAAGCCACATCTGTAGCACAATTACCGCCTTTTTCACGATGTTCTTTTAATGTTTCTCTACCGCCACTATATGCATGTTTCTTGATCTAAAGAAGAAAATGTCAATGTAGTATTCTAAATTAAAAACTGAGAAACCGGTTTATTTGCGTTTCTTTTCTGATTACCTTGTCTTCAATTTCTTTTGGTGTATCGGTTAAATATATTGACGAATTTATATCTGATGCACTCATTTTACATTGTGCACCTTGTAATGCTGGAAAAAATGTTGAATGTATAAGTGCAGGTTTTGGAAAATTTAATCTTGGTGCTACATCACGTGTCATTCGAAAATATGGATCCTAAATAAATGGGTGCAAGTTAATTTGCATATGGAATGAGAGATGAATGACAAAAGAAAATTGAGTTATCTTGTCCAGTTTAAATGTAAAAATAGTAGTAAAATAAGTAGAGTCTGTAAGCTACTTGATTCGGTATGTTAAAGGATAAAATCTGAAAATAGTCAATCGCATATTTTTTGGATTTTCCAGAGATTTGTTCGAAAGCCAGCTTAATGGCAAATAGATTTGTGTATTAATGTATCAAATAAGGTATCTCCTCCCAAACAGTTTTGTAAAGTTTTTTCTGTATTCATAAACAGACATATGTCAAAAGTGTACGCCAATCCAAATCCTATGTTTTCATTTACTGTTGGCTTTGTAAAATGGTAAGGTTACCATTTCGAGAACAGTATTCTCGCCTTGCCAAATCCATAAAACATAATCGTCTCACCTTTACACTCGCATTTAGTGTAGGATCGACTGACGAGGGACCTTTTCCAACTGTCTAATCGCTTTCTGGTTGAAATTTAGTGGGTTATAGGTTATCGACCGTAGTGAATTCAAATATCAACATGAGATGGGCTCTTATGCCTTCAAAGGTTCGGTTTTTAGAAAACCGTTTTTCCGGAAACCTCGAAAAGTCCCTAAAACTTTCTTTTAATAGATCACAATTGCAGCCCACGAAATTATGATCAAAATGAGACATTTCCCACCTCTACTGACCTTTCTTTACAAAAATATAGAATTTACAAGAAAAGCTCTAAATGTTCATTGTCAGCTCAAAGCTACAGAAATCAGAAGAAATGAATTTAGGGCTTTTCTTGTAAATTCTATAATTTTGTAAAGAAAGGTCAGTAGAGGTTGGAGATGTCTCATTTCGATCAGAACTTCGTGGGCTACAATCGTGATCTATTAAGAGAAAGTTTTAGGGACTTTTCTCAGATTTCTGGAAAACCATTTTTCCGGAAAACGGCTCTAGAAAGGTCTAGCGGCACGTCTTATATGGATATTCGGAATCAGCGTGGTCGCTAACCTATAACTCACTAGATTTCGACCAGAAAGCAATTTTCAAGTTGGAGAAGTCTCCTCGTGAGACATATCGCATACATTTGTCGATATTTGAATTTAGCAGCAACATTGCATTCAGAGAATTTGTAAGGTACACATAGATTGATGATAACTTTACTACAAAGTGCTGAAAACTGTACTACGTGATAATGGCTGCTATGTACTTACTTGATCAATTGCACATGGTATTAAACAAGGTAAAGGTTGTGTTATTTGCTCAGAATCAAATATAAATGGAAATGATGTACTTATAGCCGGGGCTGCTTGCACAGCTGGAAATGCTATTTTACCAATACTATCACTATCAGTAAACCCAAATATAGCTAAATTGGAAAAAACAGATGTATTTAGTTCAGTATACAGATAAGTCGAAAAACGATGCTATATACCTTTTACTTGATTATATGTAACACACTTTTGTATTTTGCAGATATTTTTGTAGAAATTTGGACACTGGCTATAAAAAATTAGAAGCAAACTATAGATGTCGTTTTTACACAAATATATTTTAGAGCCTATGTAACTGCGTCCAAGTTTCAGTTTTATGATTAACATTTGATCAAAGCAGAAGGTAAATATTTTCGGTTTCATAATAAAAACAAAGATACATCCATAAGAAAAATTGCTTATATAATAATCATTTCGAACTTTGATGAACTTTAATTTGGGATCATTTATCCAATACTTACTACATAATAAATATAGATTTTTGAAATGAAAAGAGAATGTAATAGCGGAAAAGTTGAAGATGTACCGGTTTTATTTTTGCTACAATTGATATCTAGTCGGAGGAAGCATTTGGAAAGCAAGATTTTTATCGTAATTCGATGGAAGAGAAATAATGCCTAACTTACGCCATGAATTCAAAATCACTGAAGATAAATGTCTTTTCTTTGTCAAAACCACATGCAATTATATCTTTTGCATTTTCATGTGCTAAACGGTTTGCTTCATCAACAGTTAAATCTTTCCATAAAAATTTTTCGTCATCAGTCATTTGTATAACCAATGGAACGTCAAATACATCTTGTAGCCATCTAAAATTTAATTTGAAACAAACTTGATTCATTAGGGGTAATGTTAAAGAAGTACGCCACATAAAAACATTGTGCATTTGCATAGGTAAAGCATTTAAATTATAAGTAAGTGAACTATTGGATACTTGATGTGATTCCACAATTTGACGAAACGCTAGTCTCTTGTTGATATCACAAAACATATCTATTTTCTAGAAACTGAATCGATCTCAAACACATTTTTTGTCTCTTAGTCTGTTAACATTCATCTCTTAAGCCAAGTAAAGCAGATCCGTTTCGAATAATATTTACGGACTGCAATCTCCCGACGCACAGAGCTAACATTCAATATTATGGAAAGTCGATTGAAAAGTAGCCAAGAAATCTGATTGCTAAGGTGATTTTCTTTGCACAGAAACAACTTAAGCATGTAGTGGGATGAAGAAAAATCCAAAGATTGTATATACTGTCAAAGTGAAGTAGGCTAAATGTATACTAACTTTGTCATAATAAATGGTACTAAATGTCCAAGATGCATTGCTTCAGATGACGGACCACGACCAGTATAAAGATAAAATGGTGTTTTTTGTTCGTAAGCAGTTAAAATTTGTTCAAGATCTCTGAAAGAAATTAAAGAATAATGAAAAATATCTTGTAACTGATAACTAAATACGTTCTAGTTCTATAGCCAACCTATGTGAGAAAAAGATACCACGGCGAATAAAATGATGAACTGGTTGTTGAATTATTGTTTCAATCTTTTTTATTAAATCATCGTTTAATTTTGTTGAACCAAATTTTACTATGAATAGAATAAGATAAACGCAAAAAAAGCTTATTTTGTTTTGTAATTATTTAAACAACACACACATTCGTTTCTTACCAATAATTTTATCATAATCAACACCTGCTGCAGACCCTGCTTTAACTTCCCATGGATTAACTATATCATCATCATCATTTCCGCTAACAGAAGGATCATTTTGATTAATTGTATTCATGATCCTAAAGAACTATAAAACGACAAATGTTTTCCGCTGTGAATTTACTAATTGACTAATTTATTCTTATTAAATGCAAGAATTCTATTCACCGATGTGTCCCAACATTGATAGTCCCCTATAGAGTGAGGAACAATTTGTCTTCAACTAAATGTCTTCTAAGAGTCGTAACCTATGAGCACAAAGCGCAACCCTAGTTGATTAGATCACAAAACATAGCTTGAATTAGATATTACAAATATGATAGTTTTATGAAAAGAAACCCAAATTAAGTGAGTCATCGCATTTTGCATCCCGACTTTGCGAGATGTTTGGATCAGGGTGACGACTGTACTTCGGTCTTTTTATCGAACAACCGATAGAAGAAGACCAGAGATAGAAAAGAAAAGTTTGGGTGGTAGGGGCATACCTGTCGGGTTTATAGGCAAAATCCTGGAAAAATCATGTGTTTGAAAAAATGCCTTTTTTTCGTGTTTCTCCTCTAATCTCCAACTGAGTGAATGTCCGAGGTTGAAAAGTATATATTTTGTAGAAAACACGTTCCTCTATCGATTGACGCGTGAGCTAGTATCCGGGGTTGGTGTACTTTTTTTGATTTTTTCATCTGAGATGAGATACTTTAGCGTCATGGACAGTCAGAACAGAAAAAACGTTCAACTGTGTATTCTGAGCATGTGTAAGAACAACTTACATAGAAAATAAAGGAAAACTTTGACCTTAGAAAGCAAACAAAGCTCTTGTTTTGTATCCCTGATTCTTTCTGGGCGTCTATAATGCTAAACTATCTCATTTCAAATGAAAAACTCCAAAAAAGTCCAATTAAAAAAAAGTCGGTATTTTCGGTATCTTTGTCAAGTGGAATATTTTGGATTTAGTGTTTCCATCTATGAGTCTTTTAGATGAGATAAACTACTTCGAAAAATAAATTTGCAGCTACTATAGGGGATTTTTTCGGGCGCTCTATTAAAATTGTAAAATTAACTAAAATTAAAAAACAACTGTTTGTGTACACTCTTGGCATAAAAAGTTGATCTGCCTTCTCAGTAGACTATTTGCATTTACTGGCATACATATCATAACGCTTACCACTTTATTATGACGGTATATTAATTCAAACGTTTTAATCACTAGCTGCTTTTAATCAATATCGATGAAATTAAGTGTCAAACCTTAATACTATTAATATGTCCTTTGCTAATATATATATAGATATATAGATATATAACTAGATGAGACATGCTTGACTTTCAACTTCCTTTATGGGTTTTATACATTCATGACAAATGTTTGAATAATGAATACTTTTCTGATTAATATTTTGCTTATGGTATCATCCCTCATAATTCTTTCGCAACTCAAACCACCTAGATGATAAATATATTCATTTTTCTGCATTGACACATAAAAGAGCAAAATAGAAAGTGTCCGTCAGAACTCTCATTCGTCTGGGAACTACCGACTGTGTATGTTTTTTCAATGACACATATATTATGATGAAATAGCCATAAGCATAGTATACTATCTGATATCAAAGAATAATCCTCGATTTAAAAATAGAAACTTGTTTCATTCTTTTTTCTTCAACTCATCGAGTCAAAGTACACAGAAAATCATTTCATCAGGTTTTGTTTAAATGAAGAAATAACGAGTCTCCACACTCTCACCACCATTTTGATATTTTCCAACAAGCATAAATTCATCAAAACTAAATTGAAATCGATCTCTACGTTATGATTTTACAAGCTCGTCAGTTTTCTTAGCCTATCCCTGGAAAATGCATTATGGCTGTAATACTACTAAATCAGTAGTACTAAGTAGTAATACATAAAAATGTTTATCTAAATTCATTTGTCATTGAAGTATCAATACAATTTTGTAGTTTCAAATGAAGTTTGAGAAATAGAATGGACACGCTGTACACATTTAGACAAATCGGTTGGAAAAAACTTGTATAAAAATCGATCATAGAAAGAAAGTATTCTAAAAATCTTGGCTAATTCGTATGGACGATGCACATGAGGCAGATCATCATGGTACTATAGTTTTCTTGGCATGAAGCCAAAAATGTTTCTCTCTTAGTCAAAATACGACTGAAGAAAGCCAACAAGTATGGAGAGCGCGTAATTTTCATTATGAAAATGTATTTATGTAATTCTATACTACATATGCGGTTTAACGTGCCTTTCTACATATAGTACAAGTAAAGGTAGATAATGTTTAAGTGTGCACAAGTACAGATAAGAATATATGGCGGATGACAATAACATTATAAAGGATACAGAACAATAAAACTGACTTGTCAACGCGTATACGATAAAGGAAACAAGAT